TGCAGAGGTAAGCCAAGCAAAGAGGGAGAAAAAAGTCTCCATGGTATCCTGCAAACTCACTGCAAAAAGTGAGTAATCATATCACAGTGTATGGCAGCATCCTGACATTTGTTTTTTATCATGAGCATTGCGAAGAATTTCCGTAAGATCAGACACCTCTTCAAGTTGTCCAAAGCGTCTCTAGAGATCAGATTTGGCCAATGAACCTCTAATGTGATACTTGTAACTGCCAATCCTTTTGTGAGCATCATATTCTGGCCCTCTGTCATGCACAGTATGTCGAGGACACCATCACTGGGTACAATGAAATGATGCTTTAACCAAACTCCTCTATTCTTCTGCTCAACCCACTCCAAACCTTTGAAAGCACAGAAACCATGTAAAGCTAGCTGTGCTTCAGTGGGAGAATTGACAGCTGTCTGACACAGCTACCTATCTAAAACACTAGAGCATCCAAACAGGTCAGATTTAGACTACTAGAAATATTCAAGGAATGTTACTAATACATGGCAAAGAATGGATGAAGCAGCCTAACTGCCCATCAGATAGCAGTACCGTATACGTGGAGCACTTTTCCGCAGTACCCCTTCAACATAATTATCACTTTCTGTAGTAGAAGCAGGATTCCAGTACACACGACATGCTGAAAAGTTTGATGCCAGGGACACCTGCAGAAAGACAAATGTCTCTTTAAAATTCCATATCTATATATGCACATACACACTTTACATACAGCCAAGTCTCTGATTTACAAATAAACATTCAGTGATCCAAACTAAATACCTACATTGTTAAGAGAATCTTCTCTTCCATCCTTGCTTTTAAAAGCCAAAAATATACAGTGTCTTTACAGAGCTGTGGTTTAAGAGCAATTAAGATCTATTCGGTACACAAAGGAGCTTTTTTATTTCTGCAAGTTACTGTCCAGCCTCCCCTTCAATTGAAATTACACAAAGAAGAAGCCTGTGTTACTGACAGGGCTACATTTAGTCAGTGTGAGTGTACTATTATCACAACTAGCCCAGAACAGCAATTTATTCCATGCTGTTTTGGAATACAGTTATTGAAAATGTATGTTTCTGCTAAGAAGGACTCGTGATACAGCCTGGTCTGTCGTCATCAGAAGCTTGGTTTTGATATTGACAGAAAAAAGAATGCCCTTCATATCATGTGATAGAAACCTCTCGTGGGAACCTCTAGTGTTTGAATCTCTAGCTCACTAACATAATCTTCATTGCTGTTTTGCATGCAGTTTAAGAGGCTTGGTATGCAGAGGCCGAAGTCCTACAATTCTGTGATTCTGTGAGATGGGCTACAATCACAGAATCACAGAATGGCCAGTGTCAGAAGGGACCTCAAGGATCATGAATCTCCACCCCCCCCTGCCACATGCAGGGCCACCAACCTCCTCATTTAATGCTATAATGCTAGACCAGGCTGCCCAGGGCCCCATCCAACCTGGCCTTGAACATCTCCAGGGATGGGGCATCCACAACCTCTCTGGGCAGCTGTTCCAGCACCTCACCACTCTCTCTGTAAAGAATTTCCCCCTGATGTCCAACCTGAATCTTCCCTCCCTCAACTTAAAACCATTTCCCCTTGTCCTGCAGTTATCTACCCTTTCAAAGAGTTGATACAATCCTCCTGAAGAATAATTTTTAAAAATTAATTCAACACTGAAAGATCTACAAAACTACATCACTCAGAGTTCATTGCCAGGAAAGGAAACCATATGGCAGTCAAGTCTGCTATCAGTAAGTTAAGAGTGCTGCTCCTCCCTAGGACAGAATAGGCTGTCCAGTTCCCAAACTGAGTCTGAAACAAGCACACAAACAAACTGATCTAACACAAGCCATTCCTTGATCATTATGTGAGTAATGTTATGGAGTGAATACAAACTAGGATGTTTCAAGCCTGAAGTACGTAAATTTCACTTTTGATAAAGTGAGAAAAAAAAAAACCAAAGTTTTGAAAAAAAAAAAAAAAACAAGTTCTGCTGGATAGCAGAAAGCCTTCAAAAGGGTTTGCTTTGATAAGAGAAGTAACAATACCAGATTAGAATTAGCTTAGGAGTAAATCAAGTCTCAACCGCATCTTAGAGCAGCACAAACAATAAACACTGCCCTGTTTCAATAAAATTTGCACTATATTTGGAAAAAAGCTGTTTCTTTCCCTCCCTTTAGGGTAAAATAAGTTGTTTTGTCTATAGCAATGTCTCCTGAAAGCAATGCAGCTCGCCTACAGCAGCCAGTACTTTTGTGCACCATCAAGGTTAGGAAAGCAATCCCCAAAACCCCACAGAACAAAATACTACACGTAGGACATTGCAATACTGACAAAAAATGACTTCACTCATGTCATTTTAATCCCTTGTCTGAAGACATTCATTTCAAACCTATGAATTATGACAGAACTAGTTACAATTAGGTACAAATTTCCATTCTTTCCAAAACCTTGTTTGCCAGTGCCATTTTCTTAATGCTTGTATTTATTTTTTTTTTCAAACCTAAGCTCATGTTGCATCTAATTCTTCTGCCAGCACAATGAAGCTGGTAAGTGGGGTATTAGCTCTTGCACAGCTGCACAAAGAAAAAAACTCCGGGAAAGACAAATTTAGAGTGGTAAAATCAGGCTCCTCCTTCTAAAAGAGCAATACAGATATTACATGTCCAACTAACAGGGAAAAAAAAAAAAAAAAACACACCAACAACACCATTATTTAGCTGGCCTAAGTGGCAATAGCATTATACTGGCAAAGGTCTACTAAGCCAGGTGCAACAGTGGCAGAGTTCTCCTAGCACATGAGGAAAACCAAAGCTCATCTTGCTCTGCCATGCCACAGAAGCAGCAGTGCTGCAGAACTGAAGCAGGTGTTACAGCATCCAAGGACCTCCTCTGGCAGACCTTTCACCAGCCTCAAATTCTACTCACAACACCTCAGGAAAAGCTGAAGCTTTTTTACTTGCCTTGCAGATTTCCAGCTTGAGATCATAAATCTCTTTATTAATCTCACAGCTACTCATCATCTCTGTCACAGCTTTATGAATAAGACCATTCAAGACTCTGCAGCGTATGTTGTGTTCTTTTCTAGTTTTTGCCTGGTCAGCTTTCTTTATAGCAGTCAATTTGGTTGGCTCATATATCTTTAAAGAAAACAACAACAAAACAGTTAGTACAAACTCACGTTAGCAAGTTACAGACAGTTTTGTATGCTAAGCATAGTTTTAGAATGTCAGAGTTGCAGCTACTGACCTTTTTATTTCTCAGGTGTTTCAGTAAAGAATATTTCTGTTCATAGTTTTGATCTTTATTTAAAAAAAAAAACTGTTTTTTATTATTTTCTAGCAACTTACGTAACTCAAATCAGCTGTCTAAAATACAGCTGGTAATAAGTGAAAAGCACTGCTTGCTTGAAAAGCAAACATAAAAGCTTGTTTTCTGTACAGTTCTCACATATTTATGTTTCGCAACGCAGTTTATCCACATGGAGAACTATGAGCACCACCAGAACTGGAAGTAAAACAAATTCCAGCACATAAGGAAAACAAAGGCAACAAAGTCAGAGGACTGTCATGCTGTGACTGCTAACACCATCTCCAGACTGCTGATCTGAATTTGCCTCATTCTGACAAGAATTCAAAGCAGTTCCAATCACTGATTCTCGTAGCGCGAACACTATGATCAATACAGGTGTCATGATTTTATGTTTTTTTGATTTTCAGTATTCCGCATCAAAACATCACGTACTGGAATTCAAGTGTTAATGCTCCAATCCCAGGTACCTATCCCTTTACATGACAGAAGTCGTGGGATCTGACCCTTTGGGTGGGGCGGTCTCTTACTGCCTGCCAGTGGGTGCTGGAGGTGCTTTCCCAGCCGTTCCAAGCTTTTCAGGTTTGACTCGGTCT